AATGTCAAAATTTGATCTTTTTGGTAATGACCATGAGTTATTTTGGGTAAAGAATCAAGGTATTTTGTTTTGGGGTTTAAGATAGGATAAGAAAGGTCTAACCTTGACATATGTCAAAAATCTATAATTCTTGAAGAATTAAAAGAATCTTTAATTCATTTAATATTCGAAGAACTAAATATTAGAATTTGTTCAATTGCTCCACTTTAGAAAGTAGCATAAATTCAATCCTTTAAAAGATTAAGCAAACGATGAAAGATTAGAGACGCGTTTAAACAAAACAATCCTCTAAGTGCAAATGGTATATGTCATGCCCCCTTCTTCGGCCGTTTATGCCCCTGAATCCATCAGGTTTTGGATCTTGCGCTTCAGCGCCTTATAGTTCTCAGAGGAATGTTTGGGGCTTCTTATGTGATAACAGCTAACAGCTAACAGCTTTAACATCGTAGTCCTTAAGATATGGGGATTCTTTTCTTAGATCATCCTGGCCAGCTTTGTCCTACCATCAGCTGATCAGGCTCTTTAATGTTACAATCTTGCTTCCATGTGGTTAAATCCACTTCATCGAGTCCTTCATGACTTAATTTCATGTTTGTGAAAATGCTTAAAAATGTAGATGAAGATGCAAAAAGGAAAAAATGAAAAATGCAAGAATGCATGAAATGTTCGAGGCATTAATCCAGAAAAGTGTCAATTATTATAAATAATCTTTACTTAGACAAAAATATTTTATCTTGTAAGAGACATAAAAACGATCAAAGGTATATTCAGACTAAATCCTCTAGACCCCGAACAGCTTCTAGTAGGTTGACAAGTCTTCTGTCTTCATCTGTCACTGGTTGTATGCCTTGTCGGACCATTCCAGCTTCCCATGCCAGGCCGTGTGGATGACGAGATGCATTATGTACTTGATCCAGGAAGTCTCGGATGACTGCGTCTCTGGCCTTCACCCTTTGTTGTGCTTGCTCCCAACGGAAACGCCACTGTAAACCTCCGTCGAAGAGCACTATCTGAAGCTTGCTCACTTTCTTCTTGAACCCATCTACAATAGCTTCTAACTCAGCTATTGTTTTGTCATCTCTCTCATGTTGTTTCTCCAGATCAGCCATCTGGATTCTCAAGCATTGGTTTTGATGCTGACTGTCTGCTAAGCGCCTCTGGGCAGTCTTCATATGTTCCTTCCAAGCTCTCTCATCAGGCCATTCGAACTTTTTTTTCAGGCTATGAGCTTCGTCTTTCCAGTATTCAGAAGCCACTTTCAACTTGGAATTATCTTTGACTTTATCTTGATACCCATTTCTCAAGTCTTCGAGCTCAAAACAGACTTTTTTCTGTTCTTTTTCAAGTTTGTCTGCTCGATCTTTCTGAGAGTCGACATCTAGCTTCCACTGATAGCGCTCAGCTTCAAGCTCCTTTACCCTATGCTTCAGCTCGTTATTCACAGCTTCAAACTCTGTCTTGGCTATCTCAAGTTCAGAAAAGACAGGGCCTGAGATGTTCTTCCAAGGTTCGGGTGTCCTCACAGTCTGGCACCGGGATATTGTCATTTTTTCTCAATCTTCGCCACTCCACATAGTCCGGAGTAAGCATGTTTCTGGCAGCTACAACATCTATCCGGAATACTTTCTTCCATGAATCGACTGCTTGATCATCTTCTTATAGTTGTCACCGTGATACTCAAACTCTGATCTGGCTAGTCCGCATGTTACTGGGACAAACTGACGTGCCCCATACTGTCTAAGTGTTAACAACGGAGCATACCCAACTGCACCCCAAAGTCCAAGTAAGGTCATAGTGTCAGAGTCCCCACATCGAAAAAGAACGTCATTGAGGAACAACCAGGGGGCTCTCCAGGTAATATCCTGATCTTGGAGATGAGTGAAGACTTTCATCCACTTCTCTTTTGAAGCGCCTTCATGTCATTTCATGGTGATGAACTCTCTCAAAGGTGAATACGTAGTGTTAAATCGGCGGTAGGCAACCCCATTAGTCTTCCAGAAGTGGCTGTGAATCCAGACTTGAAGGAGCTGAACACACCCAATGAATCTACCTCCGCCAGCTCTTCGGCGATGGTTGAGAGACCGAAAGGTCTCGGCTAAGATGGTCGGTGCTGGGTTGACTCGTTTCGAAAGTTGCTCAAACAGTTCCACAACGGCTGCGTCAATGTACCCCAAAGTCTTCGGGAATATAATCAGGCCATACAGACCCAGTGCAAACAAGTCTATTGCATTCCACTCATCGGGATGGTCCTTCATCAGTTGTTTGATATGAAGCCAGACAATTCCTTCCCCAATGCCTTTACATCGAGCTCGGTCTATTACCCATCTTTCGTCAACCCCATCAACGTTGGCTAGTGCACACTTGAAAGGCTAACTTTTGATGTGTTTAATATAAGCTCGCTCCAGTCTGATATTTTCACAGTGCAACAGTGTAGTGTACTCTTCAATGGTGGGCACCATGTCCTCCTGATTAAAAGTGAAGTAATTGTATCCCACTGAACCAAGGCTCTGATCAAGGGCTCATCAGTCTTGATTTGAAGCAACAATGTAATGTCACCGTACCGTTGGCTGAACTTCTGTTTCTGATCATTCTTCCAACTGCCCCAGATGTCCCGAAACTCTTGCACGTCGTTCTGCTTTAGGCTGATAGAGGCGTAGCTAACCAGCTCTGACACATAGCTTTCTTGAAGACTATCTCCATTTTCCTTCTGAGTCTTCTCGGACCATAGTCGTACATCGGGGTTTTAATCTCTTGTATTACACCTTTATCCATTAATTCAGATTATTTTGTGTAACAAACATTTTTTTAGGGATCAATAGCCTCTTGTTATGATGCAAATACTTTAAAACAAACACAAAGGCAAACAGTTAGTAAAATAAAAATAAATAAAAATAAATAAAAAATAATGGAAAGAAAAAAATATAAGAGAAAAAAAAAACATGGTTAGGAATGAAATGTCCTAGGTTTTGGAATGTGATTTTGGGGTAGACTCTATTTCTTCAAATTCTCCCGGTTTAGGTTCCGAAAAATGGTACCCGAGTTCTCCTTGTTGGTGCCCCCTTGGACTTACCAGGCCCTTAGTCCTAAACCCATCACAGGCTTGTGTGGACTAAGTTAAACTCGAGAGGACACATTCCCTTATGTCTATGCGGAGAATAAATTCACACGAAGACATAAGGTATATGAATCCCGAAGGCTACTTGCTTGGCATATGCGGTGAATAAATTCACACGAATGCGTCACTTTCACCCCAAATAAAACGGGTTCGGATCTCGGGTTTAGAGCCTTGAATAAAAAAGTTTAGAAAGCTGAAATCACTAGAAAACAGTCAGTTCAACTATTTACTCGAAAAAATATAATCAAAGATAAGTAATAAGGATCGAAATATTACCTTAAAATTTAAACTTACCATTTTCGTTAAAAAGACAACTGGAAATTACCTTAGCCTGACTCACTTACCTGTGTCCCCAGCGGAGTCGCCAAGCTATCACAACCGTCTTTCGGTTAGGCTCCGAAATTAGGCTTCGACTTAGGAAAATGTGGATTGGAGTCGCCACCGACCACTTTAAAACGAATTTAGGTGGGTCGGACACCATTTTACCTGATCTGCGTTGTACCAAAAACGAGTCGATTTCGGGAGTCAATTACTGTCAAGGAATGATTAGCACCCTTGAATCACCCTTTCGGTACCACATAATTTTCAGTTGTCTTAAATTAAGAAAATTGTAATTTTAAATAAAAAGGTAAAATTTGATCCTGATTACTTACCTTAGATTGATTTGAAAATATCCTTAAAAAATCGAGAAATGTGTTAGATAAACAAGGTAAAGAAAACAAATAAGATAAAGAGAATAAAATAAAAGGAAAAAAATAAAATAAATAAATAAGATAAGAAAAGAAAAAAAATAGTAAAGTAATAATTATATATAGTAATATTTGAAAAAGGAAATATATATATATATATATATATATATATACAACAAATATTTAAAAATAGAAAAGCTACCCTCTCACTTCACCGAAAGTGGGGGGCTTTAGTCAGAAATAAGACAAAAAGAAGAAAGTGTGAGAGACTTTAGTTAGAAATAAAACAAAAAAATAGATCCTCTAAGTTAGTAGTATATAATATAATAATGAATAAAAAAACGAAAATAATAATAAATATATATATATATATATATATATAAAGTTATAAGATATATTACGTAAATAAAGAAATAATCAAATAAAAATAATTAAGAATATATATATATTAATAATAGGTATATAAATAAACTAAAAATATAAAAAATATATAACTAGATAAAGATAATTACAATATATATAGTAATAATAGACTTATAAGTAAAATATTAAAGATATATATATATATAATAAAATATAGTAAAAAATCAAATAAAAATAATTTAAAAAATATATATATATACACGTATAATAATAACATGAATAATAAAAATAAATGAATAAAATATCCATATAATAAATAAAGGGACTAATATAGATTTTTAAAAAGTTCTTCCCTCCTTTAACCGAAAATCAAACCGGTTTTTCAAAATAAGCCTCGGGGAAGCGTAGATCTAAGAGAAAATATCTCGATTCTCTTGTGTTCATCGGCCCTTTCAAAGTAAAAACGAAAAAGAAGAAGTGAAACAAGTCACATGCAAGCGAGAATCGAAGCAATATAGGTAAAAATATCTCTTTTATTTATCTGTTGAAAATTACAAGCGAATCTTTGGGGCTTATTGTATATTTGCTTTGGGTATTTTTGTGTGTGCGTAATCCCGTATGATAATCGTGTCTTACAAATGGAAATGATTATATGTATTTATAGTGAAAAAAACTAACTAACAATAGAATCATAATGCAACTAGACTCCTTGCTCGGTTGTTGCACCTTTGTTGGTGTAGTTGTTGTTTTAAAAGATATGGTGGTGGAAGAGTCCTCTTAAAAAATGAACTCTTGCTAGTTCTATCTTTTAAGAAAATTGGTGGCTACACCACCCTCAGTCAAGAAGCTCTTGACTTGATTCAGGACTGTTAGAGACAGCTGAAAAGAGACAGCCGAAAAGAGACAGCTGAAAAGAGATTTGTTTTGCCTGTAAAAGCAAATGAGATTAAGAAAAAGCACTACTTTGCAAATGCAACAGATATTCCTCATAGAAGGAGAACAGGGGGAAAAAAAGAACAATGAAGTGGTATTTGTTATGGGTTTTGAGTTTATGGACTTTAGCTTTTATTGATTTGAGCCGATCTGAATATAGTTTTGAAGAACTGATAGCTGAAGAGAGTTTCCTTTCGTACTTGGATGAAGAAGCAGTGTCCCCTGGAGCCAACTGTCTTACGGTTCCCCTCACTCTCATTCCAGGAGCTGTTTGTTTGGATGGGAAACCTCCTGGTTATCATCTGCTTAGTGGGTTCGGATTAGGTGCAAACAGCTGGGTTATCCACTTGGAGGGCAGTGGATGGCGTAATAACATTCGGACTTGTGTCTTCCGCAAAACTACTCGACCTGGTTCGTCGAAATTTATGGAGAAGCAATTAAATTTCACTGGAATCTTGAGAAATAAACCTGAAGAAAATCCTGGTTCTTACAACTGGAATAGAGTAAGGGTGCGTTACTGGGATGGGGATTCTTTTGCTGGAGAGGGCTATGATGAGGCGAATGAACTTTATTTTAGAAGAAAAAGGATCTGGTCAGTTGCAATGGAAGAATTAATGTCCAAGGGAATGAGTAACGCTAATCAGGCACTTCTTTCTGGATGTTCAGCTGGGGGTCTAGCTTTCATTCTTCATTGTGATGAATTTAAGGCTTTATTTCCAGCAACTACCAAAGTGAAATGTCTAAGTGATGCAGGCCTATTCCTTGATGCAACAAATGTGGCTGGTGGCCGTACCTTAAGGGATATGTATGAAGGTGTGGTTACCTTACAGGGTGTGCAAAAGAATCTACCGAGTAGGTGTACCAGTCAAAAGGATCCAACTTCGTGCTTGTTCCCTCAAAACTTGGTTTCGAATATCAAGACCCCTATGTTTCTTCTCAATGCAACCTATGATGCTTGGCAGGTCGATCAGAGTTTAATTTCATCAATTGCTGATCCCCATGGTTTGTGGCATGACTGCAAAGTAGATCGCCGTCATTGCAACACGTCACAAATTAAGTGTTTTCAAGACTTTAGGAACCAAATGCTTAATGTTGTAAAAGTATCCTCACAGTCCAATCGAAACGGTTGTTTATAAATTCTTGTTTCGCTCACTGCCAATCAGAGATGCAGCTACATGGTATGAGAACGATCTCGTGGTGGAAGCAAGGCAGTTGCAGTGTCTATCGCAGATTGGTTCTTTGACCGAACACCCGTTAAAGCTATTGACTGCCCAAAGAACCAATCTGTAGAGGCCTCTATGGCTTCTATATTTATTCTTTTCCATAATTGAAAATTGTGGAAATTGTAACATTCATAAGTTTGTTTAATAAAGTGAACCTTTGGGATTTCCAGTGTCTGCAGATTAATATGATTATCAAATCATGTTTTCTATAAGAAAGAAAAAAATAACAGATATTCCTCACTATTCAACTCGGGGTTTCCAAAACAAATGCAAAACAAAATCCGGAGAAAGAGATATAGTACCTCCCAAGGATCAACCATGATGAAGTCGGAACTTTTGCAGGCTAGATTATACATCTCGATACGATGTTCAGCAGCTACAAGGCCCTGCATCATCAGCCAAAGCTACTCAAGCAGAACTAGATAACACATGCAATTAGCTATTGCCGTTATCCACTAATTTACTAACATTTTGGATTATTGTTCCGTGCACCTGCGATCAAATTCTAACGAATTTTAGCAAACAAATTATTCACCATTTTTTCAGATGCTAAAGAAAAAAAAAACCAAGTTCATAATTTTTTTGTAGATTCTACCATTAGTGATTCATTCTTGGATGATTAATCTATGCAATAGTAATTGAATACTATCAAATTCAGCAATCAAATTGGAGGATGTCTCGAGTTTCAATCTAAACATCATAAATCAAAATTTCGATCATTTCTCCATAAGCAAATGCATCAAAACCTAAGTTTATAATAAAGTTTGTAAATCAATAATTCAGTAAAAGGAGAAAAGAAACCTAACCCTTTTCTTGTAAGCATCATTCACAGGAGACATATAGCCTCCTATAACACAAAACCCATTTGAATTCAACGCATCTCGAGCCAGTTCTAACCACTAAAAAATTATTAAAAAAAATCAAATCCATAGAAAATGGAAAGAAGTGAAAAAAATCTTACCAAACATGCGTAAGTGCATCAAAGTAGGAGGATTGAAGCTCCCGGTAGCTACTAAAACTACATATATTCTGTCCTCGCTTTGATTAAATTGAAAAGAAGAAGAAGAGAAATTAATATATAAATGAAATTAGATAATTTGAATTGTACAAAAAAGTAAAAAGAAACTTACTTGTCTTTTGATGATAGAGAGAGTTTATCGAAAGGCAATGGGATTTCCATTTTAAGAAATTGTTTTTTCAGCAATTTTAATAAAATTCTGGAGAAAAAGAAAATCACAGTTTTGTAGAACTAAAGATTCAAAGGACTAGGAGAAAACGGAGAGAGGAAATCAAGGCAGAAGATGCTGCTTCCGATTACTATCGTGTAGAAAGCGGCAGCGTGTGTGTATTCATAAAAGAGGAAGGAATAGCAGCCCAAAAACCTATAGCCTTACTACAAAGCAGCCCAAAAACCTATAGCACAAAAGTTATGCAGTGGATGAAGTAGTTGTCGTTCATGTACTATGGCTTTATGCTTCTGGTGAAAGTCCATTACTCTCGTGGAGCAATTATATGAATGTCAAAGCGAACGCCGCTGTCGGACTCTGCAGAATTCACCTTCGTTCGACACGGTTAACCTCAAGAAGTACAGATTTTACTCGGCTACCAGTTGTTTGCTTACATTTGCCTGCGAAAAAAGAATCAGTTATACATTGCTGATAAGCACATGTAATAAAAGACGGGTATAAGCTTCAAGGGCCTTGATTACTCCTTTACAGGTACCTACGAATATCGATCGTTTATTAGTGACCATTTTGTAACAATTCAACAAGTTCAATGATCATTTTGAAACTATAAAAACTTTAGTGACTAAAGAAACCATTTCAGCATATTTTAGTGCCCATTTGTGTATTTTAAAATGAAAATAATGGGTTACGCAAGGTTTGGTTATCTGCCGGTGCCACAAATCAGAGAAACAAACAGGCATTTATCATTTAAGATCGTCACCAAAGTAACAAACAAAACCTCCAAATTGAGACGCCACACAAGATGTAAAAACAAAACGTTCAGAAATGAAATAAAACTACTAATATAAGAACATGTCAGGCTTAGTCAACTTCCTCCATCTTGCTGCCTTCAGCATCAGCATCCTCCAATGGGGGCATGTCTGCATCAGCTTCAGCTTCGCCTGCATCCTCATCAATGCTAAGACCGAGTTTGAGCATCCTGTGGATTCTGTTGCCAAAGGTGTTGGGGTCGTCGAGACTGAAGCCAGAGGTGAGGAGAGCGGTTTCAAAGAGGAGGAGAACAAGATCCTTGACGGATTTGTCATTCTTGTCTGCATCAGACCTCTTTCTCAGCTCCTCCATGATGGGGTTCTCGGGGTTAATCTCCATTGTCTTTTTGCTGGACATGTAACCAGCCATGTTGCTATCCCTCAGTGCCTGAGCCTTCATGATTCTCTCCATGTTGGCAGTCCAACCATATTCGCCGGTAACTAAACAGCATGGAGAATCAACCACACGATCAGAAACCACAACTTTCTCAACCTTGTCACCCAAGACATCCTTTATTACCTTGCAAAGGCCCTCGAACTTCTCCTTCAATGCTTCTTCTTGCTTCTCATCCTCACTCTCATCGAGTTTCAAACCTTCCTTGGTAGCAGAGACAAGCTTCTTTCCCTCGAATTCTTTCAGCTGTCCAATGGCATACTCATCAATAGCATCAACCATATAAAGGACCTCGTAACCCTTCTTCTTCAACTTCTCAAGGAAGGGAGAGTTCTCAACAGCTTTCTTACTCTCACCAGTGATGTAATAGATTTCATTCTGACCCTCCTTCATTCTGGTCACATAGTCCTTCAAACTGGTCATCTCATCGCCACTCTTGGTGGAGTGGTAGCGGAGCAACTCAGCAATCTTATTCCTGTTCTGAGAGTCCTCGTGGATACCAAGCTTGAGGTTCTTAGAGAAAGCCTCGTAGAACTTGTTGTAATCTTCATTGTTCTCGGCTATTTCAAAAAAGAGCTCAATACACTTCTTCACCAAGTTCTTGCGGATAACCTTCAATATCTTGTTCTGCTGCAACGTTTCTCTCGATATGTTGAGAGGAAGGTCTCGGAGTCAACAATACCCTTCACAAAGCTGAGGAACTCAGGAATCAACTCCTCACAGTTGTCCATGATAAAAACACGTCTCACATACAGCTTGATGTTGTTGGGCTTCTTCCTTGTGTCAAACAGATCGAAAGGAGCTCGCTTGGGAACAAAGAGGACAGCCTTGAACTCAAGTTGTCCCTCAACCGAGAAGTGCTTGACCGCCAAATGCTCTTCCCAGTCATTTGTAAGGCTCTTGTAGAAAGCAGCATACTCTTCCTTGGTAATCTCCTCAGGCTTCCTCATCCAAATGGGCTTCTGTTTGTTCACCAAAGACCATTCATGCGAGACCTCCTTAATCTTCTTCTTTTTCTCTTCCTTCTCCTCATCAACATCCTCCACTTTACCTTCATCCTTCTTTTCCTTCATCGTCATCAGATATCTCCTTCTCGATAGTCTTCTCAGTCCAGAGAGAAAGGGATAGCTAATGAATTCAGAGTGCTTCTTAATCAAGTCCTTCAGACGGCGCTCCTCAAGATACTCAAGCTGGTCCTCTTTCAAGAAAAGAGTGATCTTAGTACCCCTGCCAAGATTCTCCCCAGAGGTATCCCTGGTGACAGTGAAGGATCCACCAGCTTGGGACTCCCATACATACTGTTCATCATCATTGTGCTTTGTTGTAACGATAACCTTCTCCGCAACCAAGTAAGCCGAGTAGAAACCGACACCAAATGTCCAATCATACTAATCAGCACCAGCAGCCAATGCCTCCATGAATTCCTTAGTCCCGGACCTTGCAA